ACGATTGATCTTAAATGAATTGAATGTTTGGAACAAATGAATGAATTTAGCTCCCGTTTTCTGCGGTTCCTTTTTAAACGGTAACATAAAAGACAAAAAATTCATTTCATTTCATTTTGTAAGGAAAAAAAAAGAAGGCGAAAGAAGACGAAAGAAAGAAAGAAAAGAAAGAAAAAATGTCCGAAATTTTCTTTAAAAAGTCATTAAATTTAAAATTACTGTCTATAAATTATTGATTATAAGAAAAATTACTGTAATTTTGCATATTTTACAATTAAACTAATTAAATCATTCGTAATTAAACTTGAAAATGAATGATTTAATTAGAGAAGAAAAAGACGAAAGGAGAAGAAGGTGAAGACGACTGGTAAATGTATTTTACCATAAATTTAATTAAATTATTATAATTAAAACTTAAAACGAGTGATTTCAGATAAGCGATTAATGATAAAATAAGAATGAATATTTTATGATTTTAATTGTTTTTTTTAAATAGTTTTAATTGAAATCTTTTAACATTTTTATTCATATATTACAATTTCACTTAATTACTTTCACTAAACATATTCAATCAATATGAATGAATAATTGTTTTCAAATTTTATTTGACAGAAAACGGTTGTTTTCCTTTTTTTCTTTTTCGAATTTAATTAAAGTTTTATTGCTATGTTTGGAAAGACAAAAGAAGAAAAACTGATGAATTTTATTAATTTTTATGTGCTATTTGAAATAATACATTCTATAATGTACATCAATTACTCGAAATTTATCAAATGACTATATTTTAGTTAAAATTAATTTTCAAAAAAAAAAACTCATTTTTATATTAATCGAAATAAAAGTGAATTATTTTCTTTTTTTTACTGGAATAATTGATTTTTTCCTTTTATTTTTGATATTTTTTTACAACAAAAAATTTGGTTTATTTCTTTTTATTAATTATTTTATGATAAAATTGAAAAGCAATCAGTCTATTAGGAATATAATTTCGTTTTCTTCCTCCTAATGAAATTATTTCTATCATATTTCATATATATATATTTTATATTAAATTTCATTTTGGTAAGACTATCTAAAAATATTTTGTAGATTCGGCAAAAAAGAATAAATTGATTAAAATTGCTATTACTTTTTAATTTATTTTCTAACAGATATTTAAAAATTGGAATTTTAATCAATTGAAGTAGAATTATCGAGAAAAGTGAAAAATTTTTTGATGATTGCAAGTTATAAATATGATTTAAACTTAAATTAAACTTAAATGAATATTTTCTTAAATTCAAAAAAAAAAAAATAAAAAGCACACCTAAAATAGCATACTACTTTTTTTTTTAAAAAAAAATTCTTTTTTCATGACTTTAAGATAACTTTCATTAAACTGTAATATTAATAAGCAATTTATTTCATATTTCTTAATCAGTGTATTCTTGTCTCATTTTTATTCATCAAAATGGGAAAAATTTTAAATCTTAAATTTTCCTCTTAAATTTAATTTTTAAATTCGAAATAAAAAACGAAGCATTTGTCACTGAAAATTTTAAATCTAATCAATGTTTTAATTTTTTATTTGTGATAAAATTGGAAAATGATAATTCATATGAAGAAGACTGATGACTAAAGATGACAAAAGGTCAATCTTCTCATCATTTTAATTAACATGACCCGGAAGGTATACTATATACTTATATCATTCATTCAATTCCCTAAAGAATTCGATTGATGTTTAAAATGATTGATTTAGATAAGATCGAAGTATAACACTTATTGACAATGATAGAAAAGCGATTGGAATTAATATGCATTTCGTTTTTCCGTTCTTTTTATTCGATGACATTTGATCTGAAAATGATTCTGTTTTCATCTTTTTCTAATTCTAATTATGCAGTACAATTCAATCGAGAAATTTTATCTTTATAATGAAAATATACCAAAAAAAAAGTGAAATAATTATTTTTTTATAAAAATCTGAGTTTTTATAACTTTTAATAATAATTTAAGTAATTAATGATTTTTTTTTTTTTAGTAATTTCGATAAATGCTTTATATGACTTGTAATTGAATTTAAACTAATTTAATCTTTGTATATGATAATTCTTATTGTTATAGCAATTATATACAAAACGATGTTAATTTCAATATATGATAACCTTAATTATCATAGTAGTCACATATAACTAACAATTGATTGAAATTAATTGCAATATTTTATCTTTATTGTTTTGTAATATATAAATATCATTTACATTTATTTAATTTAAATAATGTAATTATTTTGTTTAATTTCATTATTTCGATAAAACAAATGTATGTATTAAACTAATTTAATTTTAATATACAATAATCGTATCGTTTTTGTCATAGCTATTTTATATTAAATTAATTAAATTAGTGTATGTATGTGTGTGTGTGTGTGTGTGTGTGTGTGTGTGTGTGTGTGTGTGTGTGTGCATTGATGAAAAGCTGAAATGGACAACTGTTTACTGTTCAAAGTTACTGTTGAGACCTTGAAATTTCAATAGTATTGTCATCTGATCTCAAAAATAGCATTTCATAGTGTTTTAACCAATAAAATGGATGAATGTAACAGGCAGTTTTGTTCATTTCCGTTAAACCATTCTCTCTCGTATTCTTATTTATGCAAATTTTGAAGATTCTTTTGTGACATCTTACTTCTATCTTCTCAATTACAATTGAGGTCATATCAATTGGTACAAATGAATAAACAACATGCAAATTGATCTCAATAAAAATTTTTGGGATCAAAATAAAAATGAATAATTGTTAAATTTCATTTTCAACAAAGGTTCAAATATGAAAAAATGAAATAGTGTATTATTAAATTTTATTTTCAATAAAGTTTAAAGTATGGGAAAAAAAAGGGAAGAAAAGATATGTAAGTAAACTATAACTCATCGTAAACATTAATTGCAGTATCTCAAGTCATTTACATAATGATGAATTAATTATGTAACATATTATTTGTAAATTTTCAAATTTTTGATTCCTAAAAAAATGAAAAGAAAAGAAATGAATTGCTGAAATTGCCTTATTGGCAATTAAACATCATAATTATATGTGATATTTGAACTTATCTCTTAGAACTAATGTTTTTATAAAAAAAATTTACGAAATTTTTATGACATTTAATTTCCTTTTTGTTTTAAATAGTGCTTTGTTAATTTAGTCGTAATATTTATAGTATAATTGAAAATATTTCTAGCGTATATTTTTTTTTAAAAAAAATATTTGAAATCCTTATAATAGAATCAGGAACTAAGGAATAATCGTATCGAGATATCTCCCGTAATTTCATCGGAATTTTTCTTTTTTTTTAGGTAAACAAAAGTTTCATTTCTTTTTTTTTCTTCCTTTTTCATGTTCTATTAGATCAGTTTAGGAAAGTTTCACAATAATTAGTCTAATATAAAAATGCATTCTTTGGTTATCATAATATATGTTTGTTTACATATAGAAAGTAGTAGTGTATTCCGTTGAATTATTATTTGTAAACAATGCTAAGCAGAAATGAAACAGGAATGAAATATTTATTTTGCTTTTACTATTAAAAATTCAGTGCTGAATTATTTCAAATAATAAATTTAAAAGTTATATTTTTGGTACAACTAATAACTAATATTTATGTAAATTTACAAAGACAAACGAAGTAATTTTTATACAATTTAACAATTTCTTTTTTTTTCTGTTTATATTTTCAAATTATATTAATTAATTAAGTGTAAGATACAGTCTTTATTATTAATAATACACATATGCAATAAACAATAACAAAAACACATATTTTTTACTTTTATAAATCTAAAATATATATTTATCGATCTATTCATAGACGGAAATATTGATGGCGGCATAAGTTTCTTGATGTTAAAATAGAAAATATAGGCTTAAAAAGGTATCCAGGAAATGAGAAGCTAACAATGTGTATCATTGTATCCATGGAATATCATACTTTAGGTTCTAATGGATAATGAACAATGCCGCCATTATTGTCGCTTGCCAATAGTGTGAATTGTGTAATAAATCCTCTCATCGACTCCTCTCACCAGCAACTCTCTCTTTTATCTAAGGAAAAATGATGGGATGAACTAATGGAGGGTAATTTCCCTCTTATTATTGACTGAAAAAAGATTTAAGCGCAAAAATCGTAAGAAGGAAACAAGAAAAGTGAATGAATGTAAAATTAGCTGAATTTTTTTTTTTTGGAAAAAAATTTGCGATGAAAAATGAAACAGTTAATATTTTAGTCAGAAATCATGAAATTTCAATTTATTTTGATAAAAATTTAAGTATTGTTTACAAAAATTTAATTAATTACTTGAATCCTTACATTTCTTTTTTGTTACCTTTTGTTTCTTGTTTTTGTTTTTATTAAAGTTGTAAATGAATTTACAGAAATTTCTTATTTTAAATTAAAATATGAAGTTTAATTAAATTCTTATCATTTATTACATATTTTATTTAAATCAAAAATGAAGCAAATTTTACTTTCGATTTTTTGTGATCTTTTATGATACAATAATGACAGATTATCAGCGACTATTTAACATCATATAATGCTTAATATTCTATCGATCTATCTAATCACATAATATTTTCTCTTCAATCTGAGACGGATATTGTTAATAGGTTCTTGAAGTAATGATTAGCTAATAAATTCAATGAACGGATTTAATAATATTTCTTATAAAATATATTATCTTTATCATCAATCAATAAATATATTTTTATCATTATCATTAGCTTATAATGAAAATTATCATTACAATATGATGAATGTTATCACTTTCATTTATCATCATTATCAGTGATTTTGGTAGCTTTCACTGAGCATAGATTTCTTATTCTCTAATTAATCCAATTCTTATCGATGGTTTTCTCTGAACATTTACTTCTTTGAATAAAATTAGAATTTTTAAGATTATGCAAATTAAAATTAAATATCAAGATTTAAGCTAAAACTCTAAGATAAATTCTTCTTGAGTATGAATTGTTCATTATATGAAATAGTAAAGAAGATTTTGCCACCTGTTTCCTATCTCATCTTCATCTTCTTTCCTGCAATTCAGTTTGGTACAATTGGTTTTTGCTGAGAATTAGAGCGGACAAGTACCACTCGACCTTTAACCCTTAAGTACCGAATACTCATGCTTTAACCCTTCCACTCATGTTTAACCGAGGACCACTAATATACCATATCAAGAAATTATACCCTGCATTGCGTCAGAAAGAGACGTTTTCCTTATTTTTTTTCCCTCTTTCATTCAGGGAAAAAATTATATTCTTAAGTAGGAAATTTAGTTAAAAAGGGACAAAAAAAGCATAAAATGATAGGGAAAAGTGAAAAAATTAATTTGGATTTTTTTTTTCTCAAAAATTCATTCATCCATTGAGGTATCCTTTCAAAGTAACAATTTCTCAAATTTCTACTTTTTTAACTAAAAATTGCTACGATATTCTATTATTCTCCAATAATATATTAGCATGTATTATGTGGAAAATGCAACTTTTCAAGTTTTCAAATTTATTTTTTCATTCTTTTCTCACTTTCAAAGGAATTTTTTTTTTAGTTGCTGAAGGTCTTATTAAATTCTTAATTACACTTGGCAGTGATTCGCATATTTATCTTGATCATGTCGTGCAGCAAATTCAGTGCGATAACGGAAGTTTGTCTCTTTTTAAATTATCATCTATTTTACATTTTGCTTTCTATTAAATTTTAATTTTAATTTTGACTCCTAAAAAGAAGTCTTAAATAAGAAATAGGAATAAATTGGAAAGTTTACTTTATGTTTTTTTTTTTGAAGTATATTTTAATTTAAAAACAGCTTTAGGCTAATGTTATTAACTTCTTTAATGCTTGCTTTTTTTTCTTAAATTGAATATTTGAAACTTTTGAGGGTTGAAAGTTATTGAAATTGTTATTCATTTTAAATTGCTATTCATCTATTAAGTTTCTTTTTCCAAATTTGCATTTCAGAAGTGGGTGTAAAATGTTTGGTTAATGGTACCCGCGAGGTAATTTTCAATGGCGATTGTGTACTGTGTACATTACCGCTTGGCGTTTTGAAACGATCAGTTCGAAATCGAAATAATGCTCCATTGTTTCATCCTGAGTTACCGTTTTGGAAAGTTGATGCTATCAATTCTATTGGTTTTGGGAATGTTAATAAGGTAAGATAGAAACTTTTATAGAATCATTCAAATCATTTATTCAGAATTAATGAATGAATTAAATAAAAAATAATTACTCAGTTAATTCAATCTAATTATTGTAACTTTCCTACGACAATTTTATTTATTAGCTAAATTTGAATTTAAGTTCATTTATCAAACATATTATTCAAATTTTTGATTTTTTTTTAATTTCAGATTATGCTATTTTTTGAAAAACCATTCTGGGAGAACACACGTGTTTTTGGGCAAATATCAGATACTATGTTAGTTATTGATCATACTTATTGTATTAGCTATTAAGTTACTCACTGCTAGTTATATATTCCGTTATTAATTAATTAATTGATTATTCAATCTATAGATTGATATGTTTATAAAGAGATATGTTATATTGTCATTTAATGGTAAATTCCATCTTTTTACAGGTGTGCAACAAGCCGTGGTGAAATGTTCATGTTTCAAGCTCATCGTGACAAACCAGTTCTGATTGCACTTGTCTCAGGTGATTCTGCTAATGCTTTGGAAGAAGCACCTGGTGATATTATTGTTTATAAAATCATGAATTTTCTTTCTGCTGTTTTTGGTCCAGCATGCCCAAAAGAGGTATGAATATATTGTGATTTTTATAAGTGAAATAATCAATAATGCTATTCCTTAGCATTACATACTTTTTTTTGATAAATAACCATGTGAATTTAAAAAATTTCACCTTAAACAGAAATTATAAAATTAGGAAAAAAAATTATATCACAAGTTTAACTATCACAACATATCCAAAATCATATCACAAACTAAATTACTATATATCTCTCATGCAATTCACAGTAAAGTAATGCACGCAAAGATCGTAATCTAACTTCACATCTTAATCATCTTGGCGGTTTTGTCAGGGTTATCATCACCTTCAGATTTGATTACCGTAATGGTTTTGTCGGAATTTTCATCACCTTCACAGCTTAATGATAGCTTTTATCGAGAAATTTAGATATCAAATTTTTCCATTGTTAATGAAATAGCCTAGTAATTAAACACTCTGTATCGGAAATTGTTTAAAAATAGTATTAATTAATTTGTAATATGATAATTTATTATAAATATTACGAAAAGTTATATTTCACAGTGTTTTTTTTTTCTTTTTCCTAAATATTTTAGAAATTAAAAATCTTTCCTTCCTACTTTACTTTTTTTAGCCAACAGACGTAATTATAACACGTTGGAGAGCAGATTGTTTCTCACGTGGCGCTTTTAGCTATGTTTCATCAAATTGCACATGTATGTTTACATAATTAAACTTATTCAGTAATTTATTGCCGAATTTTTATTTTAGAAAAACTTTTTTTTTTGAAGGAAATATTGAAGGATTAAATTAATTAAAAGTTCAAAATTTTGATTTTTAGAAAAATTTCTCACAATTTCAGTGGATGCATTTGATAGTTTAGCAGAACCAGTGAAAGATTCAGCTGGTTATGATCGAATTTTTTTTGCTGGTGAACATACCTGTCGTGAGCATCCTGGAACGGTTAGTTTAATTAATACTTTTTTTTTTCTTCTTTGTTTAAAATTTAAGATTCACTGATAGCTTTATTTTTTTTTTAATTATTTTTAAATGCCTTACCTTATTTTTCAATTATTTTTAAATGTTTTTTTAATGCTTTTAACAAGAATTGTAATATACCTTTATTTCGTTTCAGTATTCTTTTTTTTTTATTTTTTTGAATATTTTCAGATTCATGGTGCCTATTTATCGGGTTTACGTGAAGCAGGACGTATCGCCGATTGCATGCTTGGAATTCGTTATGCAGCTGATAGTTTCATATGAAGAAATTTTTTCAGGAAAAAAAACGAAATTACAAATTATTTTTGTGTATTTTCATGAAAAATACTAACTTTATTTATTCAATTCCCTTTTTTCATCAAAATTTTTCTTTGTTTATCAAAAAAAAAAAAACAATTAGGAAAGAATTAAAAAATTTCATTTCTCATTTTTAATGATTTTTTTTCCTAATCTATTATTCTTTTAATTGTTACTTTACAATAATATACCTCTAAATTAATAGAAGTAAAATTGAAATTATAAGCAGTAAAATTATTATAATTAATTATAATTAAACATAATTTCCATCGGGAAATATCTATGCAATTATCAATTTATTGATTGGCTCCTTGAATTAATCGATTTTTATGTGAGAAACTTTCTACTTTACATTTCTCGAGTTTTCCTATCATTCTAGTACCATTGTTAAATTTTAATTTTACACTTCATAATATAGATTACAACAGGTATGATTTCAGATTATTACTAATTTTTAATATTAATGGATTATAGGTTATAACCTATAGAAAACACTGTAATTTGTAAGGGTCAAATCGATTTAAAAAAAATATATCTATACATTTCCATATTATCAATAAATGTTGAAAATTTCGCACAGTTACATTGCAGCTTTTTCCCATGCATTTTTATCAAATAAAAAATATCACAAATTTTAATCATTGTAAAAAAAATTTTATTTTCAGAAATGAGTTTCAATTGATAATTTAGACAATATTTCAATATCAATGATTAGTGCTATTTAAGTGGAAAATAGTTTATCCATTTGAAAATCTGAATGTTTTTTGTTTTCATGTTTGCTTCAGTATTTCGAATTTTAGAAATAAATTTTTCAACACTTGAAAATTTTCTTATATTTTGTTGGTTTTTTCTTTTCATTGACTGATTATTTCAAAAAATATTTTGGTAAAATTTTATTTAGAAAACAATGAAAACTGTTGAAAGGCACACAGAACAAATGAAATCTACACATAACAAACTATGCCAAGAAAATGTCCAATTGGACACAAAATTACAATTTTAAAAATATTTTAAAACCTATTGAAAATTTCTTACCCGAAAGAAAATAACAATTTAGGAAAAAATGCTACATAATTTCCTTTCTTTTTTCTGAGATATTTAATAATCAATTATTTATTGCAATAATTTATAGAAATGTAAAAAGCAAAAAGCAAAAAAAAAAAAGGAAGCGAGAAAGGAAAAAAGTTCAAAATAAATATTTTTTTTATTAGAAAAAATCATACTTTCATGCAATTAATCTAATTTTGTATTATATTACTAAATTTTCATTCATTATTAATTAACTGATTAGCTTTTAAGAAATGAGAAATTATTCAGTAATGATAATTACCACGAGATTCATAACTATTATCACGTATATCACGTCGGAAATCTTCCTCATCGTAATCATCGAAACCATGGATATCATCGTGTTGCTGTAACGTTTGTCTTTGTTGCGGTATATTTTGCATTGGTATGGTTGATTGTAATGGTTCCTGATAATATCCAGAATTCTGAATTAATTGCTCATCATATTGTACCTAAAAATTGTTGAAAATTTTTTTCCTTTAAAATTTTGGTTGAAAAAAAATATGCATTTGCTATTTAAATAAAAAATTTTAATTTTACTCCTATTTATTTATATATTTATATTACTGTATGTTTGTATCACAAATGCAACTCTGTCACATTATTTGTCCACATAGGCTACATTGAAACTTTAAATTCTTTTAAAATTATTCAAATAACGATTGATGAAAATCGAAATTTTAATAGGAACTTATTAGTAAGGATATTAGCCAATGGTTACAGAGAAATGACTAAAGTTAATAATGGAAAGGATATTTAGCATGCAGAAAAGCTGAAAACTATTTTCTATAATAATAAAAATTAAAAAATGGACAATTTTTTAAAAGCAAATTAATTACATTTTGAGACTAACCAATCAATTGCTAAATTTGAATTGGTTACATTGAAATTAGAAAATGCAATAATGGAATAAAATGAAAATGATTGCATGCAAAAAAGAAAAGAAAGAATGTACAACTAAGTACTATTAATAAGAAATGAATAAAGTAATGTTTAATTTAGTAACTTATGATAGTAAATATTTTGTAATTTTTTAATAAATTATTTTATATTAAAAAAAAAAAAAGAATTGAAGTATTTAAAAATAAAAATAAAGTATCTGAAAATAAAATTTTTTTTTGCTGCTAACAGCTATTATTTATGGCTTTACGAAATGTATCGTTTTTATCGTTTTTAATTAAATTATAAAATTTGAAAATTTACTGGTGGAAGATTAAATGTTGGAACACGCTGCTGCTGTTGTGGACTCCTTTGCCGGATCGCTGATGGAATATTCATATCCGGTGAGTTAACCATTGGTGATATTGCTAATGGATGTCCCATTCCTGAATTTTATTTATAGCTTAGCAATTCCACTTCTAATATTTTGAATTTACATATATACATTTTAAATTGAATATTATATTTTTTAAATTGAAGTATTTGTAAATTTGACATAATACAAGGAAGAAATATAATGAAACACAAATTTGCAATTGCAAAATTTCGTGGTATTTATTCTATTTTAAAATTTAAACAAGAAAAATTACAATTTTCATTAATTACTTTCTTTTCTTTACTTCAACAATTTCTTATATTTTTTATGAATTTGATTATTTGGCAATTAAATTGCATTTTGGGCTTTTTTATGAAATTTTAAAATCTATTAAATTAAAATTTGTTATAAATGTTCAACAAGTACAGCAGCTATCATATCAATCATTAATTAACCTTGCATCATTTGTGATGGTGTAAATAATGTTGATGGACCGCGATTTTCCATTGGATTTCGTTTTATTCGAGGCGGTGATTTCACTGGCGGATGTGTCGCTCTCCAATATGATTCCATATAATCAGCTAAATGCTCACATGCATCTTCCAGTTGATTCTCATCCAATAAAACATCAAACATTTCCTAAAATTAATTTAAGAAGGAAAAAAAAAATAATTTCTAAATGATAAGATTGAGTAAATAGTTTTCAATGTTTGTTAATTTTATTATTTATAAGATTAAAACAATATGAATTTTCACTTAATTTTTTTCTAATATGATTTTTTGCAAAAATTAAAATTTTATTAAAATCACTTCATGAAAAGAAAAACTTTTAGAATTATTTAACTTACTACTGGACATTGTGCTAATTTCTCAGCTGCAACCATTTGTACATTCATATTTCTCGTTTGTGATTTATTTCTTGATTTAATAAGCCTTTGAAGAACCTAAAATTAGGAACAGTAAGAATATTCTAAAATGTAAATGTCAATCATATATATATATATATTACTTATCTCTCTGCAATATATTCCAGGTAAGGTAATCTCCACTTAAATTTTAGTTTCATTTTTCAGTTTAACTATTTTCTTTTCTTAAAAAAAAAAAAGGAAACGAAAGAAAGCCAACTTTAGGTGAGCTAATTTTGATATAAACATGAATTGGTGCAAGCGATGTTTTAGCCAACTGTGAGGGATGATTAATTGTGTCACAATCTAACACGACAAGTTGCATGGATCGAGCTAATTCAAATATTCGTTCTATTTCCGCCTGAATTTCAGCTGAAAAAGAAAAAAAAAGAAATGAAGACATGAAACTATTAATGAAAAAAATAAAATAAATCTTAAAAGCAATCAATGAATTTAAAAAATTAAATTATATTAAAATTAAAGTTTCAAAAGCAATCAATATTTTTTCGTTTTCCTTTTTTTGCACTGTTTTTTTTTCTAATCGTTGTATAAAAGTTATTTGAAAAGTTTCTGAAATAATTTGTCGCTATGAATTTGTGTGTCTTCTTGCTATAATAGTTAGTTAATATAAGAAAAAAAAAAATCTTTTGTTTGGAAAGAAATTATTTACATCTAAATTATCAACTGTGAAATGAAAAATATCTGTTTTGAATTGTTCTCTAAAGAAAATTGTTTACACCTGCATTATTACTTATTACTTGAGAAAAATATTTATATTCAAGTTCTTACCTGAGGAAATTTTCTAAACCTAAATTGTTACTTAATGAAAATACTTATATTCAGAATATTAGTTAAGAAAAATATTTATACCTAGATTATTGCTTGATCTTGAATTTGCTCTTTCCATTGTTGCTCGTTTCGATGGATTATTCATTAGTGTTCGTTTTGCTAATGAAATATCAGCAGTGACACGCGTTATTATTATCCTAAAAAAAAAAAAAAAAAAGAAATGGAATTATACATGATACTATTAAACTTCTTACCTATATTTATTTTTAATTTTATTGATCAATTTTTTTAGGAACAAAATTTAAAACACAAATTTAAAAAATTTCTAATATAAAAAAGACATAAAAGGAAAAAAAAAAGGTATGCCAACTAACCTTCCTTCAAATCGATGTTTGAGATAATCAAAAACAGCTTTTTGCATCATATCCGTGACCTCATAACCTTTTAATGACGGTCCAACGATGACAACTGGTCGCATTGATGGCACAACATCATATGGAGGTAAACTTTCTTGCTGCAGCAATTACACTTTTAAAATGCACAAACAATACTTTAGGTAAATTTTATAAAAATTAAAAATTTTTATTTTCTTCTCAAACTTTTGAAAATTTCGTAAAAATTTGTCATAAAGAGGAAACAAAAAGTGACAGTTTCACAGGTAGTAATAAAATTACCTTTTTAAACATTAATTTTCTTTTTTCTTTTGTAGGTGGAGGTGTAGAAACTAAATCAGTGATTTTTTTACTATGTGCATTGTCTTCTTCGTCTAATTCAGCTCCTTAAAAGATGCTAAAATATTTTAGAAAAAAAAAAAGAAAGGGAAAACGATGTTTTCCTAATCATTAAAAATAATAAGTTTGAAAACTTAATAAAAGTAATTTTGGTATAACAATTTTTATTTATTAAATATTCTTTATATATATATATTCTTTTCAGTTTATATTTTATTA